TCTCCTGGGTTCAGGCAATTCTCCTGCCTCAGCCTCCTGAGGAGCTGGGATTACAGGCATGTGCCACCATGCCCAGCTAATTTTTTGTAATAAATCATCCATTTTACCACTACATAAATCATATATATTCTCTTGATAGAGAAAATTCAATAAACAGGATCTAGCTATTTCCCTTACAAGTAACAAGTAATATACCAACAAGTAACAAAACATCTAAATCAATTCTGAATTCAAACACAAAGTGAAAAACTTGTTTTCTTTGACACTGGTAAGGCTACAAATAACAAAGATCTCAAACCCAGCCCCTTTATTATTAAGGAAGGCCCAACGGCTACTTAAGGATGAGGAAGGTAAATGTGCTTAATGAAAGTGCTCACTTCCAGTGAAATAAAGCTCAAAGTGTTCCCCTTAGAAAGTGGAGCAGAAATCTAGTTTCCTAAAAGTACTCTTGGAATTTCTAGAGGAAAAACTGATGTTACAGAGAACACAGTCTAAATTCCTAGAAGCAAATAACCTTACCCAGTGAGACCAAGTTGCTGTAGTTCTCTAACATCACATCTCTGTACAAATCCTTCTGTTCCAAGTCCAGGTATTCCCACTCTTCCGGAGAGAAGTCTATGGATATATCACTGAACATCACTGATCGCTGAAATGACAACCAGATATTATAACTGAAATGGGAGAAAATGTATTTTAAGATAGAAGGAGAGATGGATGTGGTGGCTCACACCTGTAATCCCAGCACTTTAGGAGGCCAACACAGGCGGGATCACCTGAAGTCAGGAGTTTGAGAACAGTCTGACCAACATGGAGAAACCTTGCCTCTATTAAAAATACAAAATTAGCCAGGTCCACACCTGTAATCCCTGCTACTTGGGAGGCTAAGGCAGGAGAATCACTTGAACCTGGGAGGTAGAGGTTGCAGTGAGCTGAGATCACGCAATTACACTCCAGCCTGGGCAACAAGGGCGAGACTCCAGGTCAAACAATCAAACAAACAAAAAAAGATAGAAGGAGAAAAGAGGGAAGAGATATTGCAGGAAGTAGACCATATGGCAAGTAAACAGGCTTGGGCTGGAAGCCTACAACACAGCCAGTCAGGAAACGAGTGTGCCTGAAGCAAAATGCCTGAGTTCCTGAAGGATCCTGTTGCTACAGACATAGCCTCTTACGCACTCTGGCAAATCTTAATAATCCAGGCATGTCTGGGAAAGAAAATCAGTTTTCCAATTAAATGAAATACTGTATATAAGCCTTTGCCTACTATGTCTCCCTCATAAATTCCCAAGAAAGGTGAGTTCTTCCATCCCTTTCTCCTTAAAGAACAGATTTTTTTGTCTCCCTCCCTATAATATCTTTATCTTAGAAAAGGATCTAAATGCAATTAGAGAATGTCTCCTAAGTTTATCCTAGAAGTAGATCTTAAGCATTTTTCCTAATTATGACTGTTAAAAATTGATTGGATAATAGGCTATACAATGCATATATAAGACTTAATCATTCTTCTATACTTAGATATTCTGGTTGGACAATATCTTAAGATTCTCCTCAATTCTGGGAGTCAATGTGACTACTTATGCACCTGGATTATCTTCTCACATGCTATCACTTTCCATCCTTTCCCATATGCCTTCCTTGTTCCTGAGTTAAAGGATACTGATACAGGATAATCCAGCACTGCAAAGATATCATTCTAGATCAGCACATCGTGTTCAACCAAAAATGGAATCTTGTTCCTGGGTATAACTCAGGAATTCTAAGAGAAGATCTCTGATCTCTCTGTATGTAAGACCTAGCCACACCCCTACTCAGTCCTAGAAGACTCACAGAGCATGAGATCTTACCATATACTGAAGCTGAGGCCAACTAACAGCAACTCTTAGCTTTTTGTTAACTTTTTTTAAGAGACAGTGTCTCTCTCTATCACCCAGGCTAGAGTACAGTGGCACATCCACAGCTTCACTGCAGCCTCGAACTCCTGGGCTCAAGCAATTCTCCCATGTCAACCTCTTCAATAGGTGGGATTACAGGTTTAAGCCACCATGCCCAGCCACAACCCTTATCTTACATACTTGGAAAACTCAAGTCTGGAAAGATTCAGTTTTCCTATGACTGGCTAAATGGGCCCATCCTCTCTTATCAGCTCACAAAGACTGGTCAAATACTTAAAGAGATTTCATGCCGGGCGCGGTGGCTCAAGCCTGTAATCCCAGCACTTTGGGAGGCCGAGGCGGGTGGATCACGAGGTCAAGAGATCGAGACCATCCTGGTCAACATGGTGAAACCGCGTCTCTACT